TACAAATATAGCTCCTTGACATTCTCGGGTACTGCGGGCACAATACAGTCTGTCTCAGGGCTGCAGCTGGTTAAATAGGCAAATTTGTATTCATTTTTCAGCAGTCACTCAGAGACTAAACTGTTCTCCCCTGACACCGATCTAAGAAAATGTCCTGAAGCATCATCACCGGTCTAAAAATACCCGCTGGTAAGTCTTGGACACACTACATTTCTGAGAAGAGAGGAAGTAGAGAAAGCTGAGAAAATAACCAGGCATCAGATAAAAAGGAACCGAGATTTAAATATAAAAGCCTTAAAATCTATTTTAAAAAGGGTTTGTGTAGTGCTGTAAATGAGCAATGCATATGACTCCAGCTGTCTGTTTCCATAGTAACTATTCTTTGGTTATTTGGCACAAATATTATATACAGCTGCTAATATATAAAATGAGTACTTTTTAAATTATGAATTGTCTCAAATTTCTTTCTCTTCGAGAGCAGAGTCTTGGCATTTGGGGCTTTTTCTAAGTAGAAACTGCATTAGTGCGTGTTAATCTGTTTTCTTTTATCCCCGTTAAGATTCCTGTCAAGGAATGGTCATTGTATCATTCTTTGTATTGACCTGCAAACGACTGAGTGTTCATCAGTGAAAGGTTAATGAGTAAATGACGGTTCGAGGTAGGCGTCTCTGAAATGGAGCCAGGGCTCCTTGGAGACCTGATTGAGTCGAGGGGTAGGACAGGGAGAACACGAGGTGAACCTGGACTACCCTGTGGTTCCAGAAAGTAAGGAAGGGCTCAAAACCTGTTGGGGGAACGTAAGGCGCCAGCCCGAAGGAGCATCCCAGTCGGGAACGCCGCACGCGTACCGTCAGGCCTGAATCGAGCAGCAAATGGTAGCAAATTATGTACTTTTCCCAAAAAAACCCCTTTTTATTGAAGTTAATTATTGACTTTTATGCATGGATTGTAGTCCTTTTTCTAGGCCCAATAATTTACAACTGAAATAAGATATCCTACTATCTCATATGCATTGTGGCCATATTTTCTACAACAGAAATGTGAGTGCATCCATAGGGGCAGTTTAACAAAATATTTGACATTGTAATGACTTTGAAAAAATCTAGGATGTGTGGTCAATATATACCTACATATACGTGTGTGTGTGCGCACGCACACGCGCACACACACGCACGCACACACGCACGCACACACGCACACACACACTGCCTGTTCCATTCCATCCAAACCGGCAGTTCCATGTTTGGTCACCAGGTGGGGCTTTGCCGATGGAAGGCAAAGGTAAAAAGGAAACTGATCAACTCCAGGATAAAAGGCCAAAGAGGAACTTGCTCAGGATTCCCACGGAGCCTTGATTGACAGCCCACTGGGTCCCATTGAAAGAGTTCAGCTGGCTGAGCCTCTCCTATACTCCCGTCCTGTGCTGGAGGCGTTTGGGGTTTAAATTATTCTGAGGTTTGGGCTGATGTCAGTGTAGACACGGCAGGCCGGTCCCAGGAGGGGGCTGCACTGAGTGCGGTGCACCAGATGCAAGCCGTCGGGGTTTGGGGCTCCTTACCGACAGAACTGAGAGAGGTGTGCCTGATCCGTCACTGAGCCCGGGTCCGCACGGTCTGCAGGGCATAGCGAGAGTTGAATGAATGGGGAAGCGTCTTTGTCCTTTGAAAATAATTTAGAGGTGAAACCGCTGTGCCTCAGAAACACCTATCAGTAGCGCGCACTTGAGCTTGGGCAGAAGGTGGACAGCGACCGGCGCCACTGCGGCTGCCAGCGCCACTCTGTCACCATGGTACCCTGAATGTCCTTTCGTGTCTTCCACGGGTGCTGTTAGATCTGACAGACAAAGGGATTTTGTCATGCTGTGCTCTAGGAAAGCTCTTCTCTGAGAAGACCTCAGATACTCCTGTTAAAACTTAAAAGGAGTGTGGCATTAGGTGCGTTTTTGTATGTACCGCTGCCTAAGGGTGTCATCCAGAGTTTCGACTCGTTTCCAGAACTTCTCCGTGCCTTTCGCAGCCAAGCTCCAAGTTTAACGCTCAGACTCTGCCTCTACTCAGGTTCCTGGGACATCCCGGGACCAGGCGGCCCCCCGAGGCAGCCAGGAGAGAGGGAGCGTGGCTTTTGGATTTCAGTCCCGGCTCTGCTACTCATCAGCCCTGGGACCTTCAATAATTACATTGCTTCTGAGCCTCAGTTTCTTTGTAAGCAAAACGGGGATGTTACTACTGATGGCCTTCATTTATTCAGTCAATCGACATATTTTTTAGTTCCTCCTGCAAGTCAGGCTGTCCTCCGGGCGCTTACCATCTGGTAGGCAGGGTAGACACGTCTGTTAGCGTTGAGAATAATAAATAAGAATATCTAATCTGGAGATGGCGATGCTGACGGGGCACGTACTTAATGCCACCGAACAGCACGCTCTAAATGGTTAAGGTGATGAATTTCATGTTATGTGGCTTTTACCACAATTAGATAAAGTAAAATTTAAAGATATATCTAAAGAACCCAACATGATGCCTGGCACATAGTAGGTACTCAGCAGACATCTTAATTAGAGAGCGAGCAGTGACAAGCCAGACCAGCTGGAGCCTTTTCTCTCCACACGAGCGCCCTGGCACAACCAGGCCAGGAAGCGGGAGGAAGGGGACTTTTGTGTCTTGAACACAACACGGCCCCAGGCCCACAGCCGGAGAAAGAAAGCCACTAGCCACGTGCGGACTTCCTGCCTTAGGCGCAGTGCGGGCTTGTGGACTGCCCTCAGACAGACGTCCTCCTAGAGTAAATAAACTCTTAACAGCCTTATGGAGGATAGTGAAAGGCAATGTCTAAATTCTGTTTCACTTTTCATAACGAAGACAGGCTTAAGGCCAAGACTACTGGATGAAGAATGACATTTGGTCTGCTCAGGGGATTACAGACCAAGCCTCACGGGTCATGAAGGAGAATCAAGGCTCAGATAATATTCTAAATGGAAGACGAAGGGCACAAAGTTTCTTATTTATTTGTTTGTTTCCTCTTTGCTTTTGTTTTTCTTTTTTTGGAGGGTATGGAGGAGAAAAGGAAAAGAGCGAAGGAAGAACCATCTTTTTTTTTTTTTTTTTTTTAACTCAGCCTCACTCTCAAGTACCTGTGCAAATGAGTATGATTAACTCTGCTACTCCTGAAAAAAAAAATTTTAATCCCAAAGTCATTTATTTTGGCTTTAGAATAGACTAGCATTTATGTCAGATTTTCCTGCCTAATTACTTTCTGCTTAAGCTTATTTTAAAATTGTTTTAAATTCCTTTAGTGTGACAGCCCAGGAACGTGGGAGGTGGGGCGATGGGCCACAGATGGGATCTGAACCAGGATTTCAGCTTCGCGGTCTAAAAGCCTCCTGACACGCTTCTAGCTGGAGAGCAGACTTAGAATCAGCTTTCTGGACAACAGTTTGGCAAAATATTTTTAAAAGTCTTAAAAATATGCTTACTCTTTGATCCAGTAATTCTATTTCTAGGAATTCGTCCTAAGGAAGTAATCAAACAAACATGCAGACACGTAAGAACGAGGCATTCGCCACAACATTTATGTCAAAAAAAAGGAAAAGAAAGTAAAGCCAACTTTCAAATAATCATCAAATAATATAGAATTAATTAAAGTGTGCTCCCCTCTCTAATATGTGTAGTCATGTCAGCAAGTTATAGACTTTAAAGATGTTTTACTCGTCTTCCTAAGTGAAAAAGACTATAAAATAGTGTGTCCGGTTTAAAACAGCGTGTATAGACACAGAGGTAGATGAGTGGATCGATGCCTCGCTGTGAAGACTCTGCAGTCTTAACTCTGGTGTCTCTGAGTGGCAAAACGATGGCCGATTTTGTACCCTTTTGTGTTTTTTAAGTTTTCTGCTCAAACTTGTAAAGACACGTTCAATGTATCAGTGAAGAAGTAAAATGCTGCCCTACTGTCCCCACGCACGCCTGAGTGCACATCTGATCATTTAGATCCAACGTGTATTTTGAGTCACGTTCATGCACACGAATTACCGGCAATCGTGCCGAATCCATACCATCACATGTACCACAGGTTAAGCTATGTTTTCCAAGTGAAGGAGCCACATTCGGCAAACATCGGTGAAGGCACAATTCGAGTGTCACGTGAGTGTCCAGTTTTCCGAAACCAGCAGCAGGAGGCAGACTCTTCCGGGTGTGCCACAGGTTTGCGAGCTGCGAAGACTAGTAGATTTTCTGTGAATTATGCGCAAAAAAAAATGTATTGCCCAAATAACATCAGAACAATACTGGAAACATTTTCCATCATTCTTAATCTCCCGGAAGCAATTTCCAGTTACATTTGTTACTATTTTCCCTTTATCTCCTCATTACCGAACTCGGAATCCAGATGTCTCAATGGGGAAAGAGCGAAAATGTAAGGAAAATGCTCGATAACCAGAAAGAAGCCTTTGATAACCCCGGGAGAGCTCTCCACTCGCATCTCTGCTCCACGTGGTCAGCGTCAGCAGACGTGCTGTGTGCTGACTGCACGCCCGGCTCCCTGCCCGTGGCGGGTTCTCCTTCGTTTGCATTTCCTGAATTCCTAAGACACCGTGTGGCTTCACTGAAGGCAAAGCCTTGCAGGTCTGGCTCCCTGTCGTCTAAGGTCAGATGGGAAAGCCTTTTGTGATTCAGTCGGCCACGGTGTGTCCTTCCGTACGTGGAACTTGGGTGGTCTTTATGAGTTATCCGCATCTCGAATGCCGATTCGGATAAGCTTCACATAAAGGGAAAAGCAGATCAATCTAGTTCGTTTCAGGCCAGATCGAACCCCAGTTTTATCACTAGCCGTGACCTTGAGCGAGTTCACGTGACATGTCAGATCTCAGTGTCCTCACGTGGTTAGGAGACGGGCGGCCGCCCACCTCACCGCGCGAGGCTGTTCTTTGTCACCCGGGGAACCCTGTACCAGCGAGGGACAGTTGTTGATCCCTATAAACTCACCGCCTTCCCCCTCTTTGCTTCTGACAGTTTCCTTATGCTGCGCCACCTCCCCAGGAGCCAGTGAAGACTCTGAGGAGCCTGATCAACATCCGAAAGGACACTCTAAGGCTCGTCAAGTAAGTCCCGACCCCCGGCCAGGGCCAGGTGCCCTCCCCCGGGCAGGGGCAGCCAGCTGCCCTAAGAGACTCGCAAATACGGTCATGCGCACCCCAGAGCCTGACGCGGGCGCTGAGAGGGGCATCCCGTCCACCAGGATCGGGGCTCACTGCATCTAGCTTGCTTACACCTCCTGTCACATCTGTGCTTGCGAAAGACCTCCCAGGAAGCAGTCATTGTCCCTATTTTATGAAATTTTTGTTAAAAGAAAGAATTATTGAAGGGGAAAAAAAAACAAAATTTGCAGATACCTCAACACGCCTATGCAAAAATGGGATATTTCAACTTGGGATATGAAATCCCTATTTATCGCTTGCATTTAGTTTTTTATTTATTCTTGATGTCATCTGCCCTTCCTCTGAGGAACACAAAGTGTCTCGGGTTGGCTTTTTAATCATCGCCATCAATACTATTCACCATTGATTTGCCTGCTCTGTGCTGTCCCCGAGGTAGTGTCATTTTAAAGCCAAGGACGCGCTCCAGCTCGCCCATCTGTCTACTTAGGCTCACTGGTTCCCCGGGAGACAGATTTGGTGAGGGCAAATCCGAAGTCCCATAGTTTTCTGGATGGACAAGGAAGATGACTCAGATTGTTTCACGCTTGTATAGGTCAGCCTTATGAGCATGAGGAAGTTTGTTTCTGATAGTTTTGTTGCGATATCACAGCTGTATTGAGATAGAGTTCACGTGCCATACAATTCACCCAGTTAAAACATGCGGTTCAGTGGTTTTTAGTGTATTGACAGACTCGTGCAATCACCACCACTGTCTAGCTTGAGAACATTTCATCGCCCCCAAAGACACCCCATGCACGTTAGCAATCACGGCCCATTTCCCCCCAAACCCCCTTTCTAGGTCTAAATGACCACTAATCTATTTTCTGTCTCTCTCTCTCTCTTGATTTTTATATTTTATTTGTCCCTGAACTTTTGACCTCTTCCCTGACCACTCTCCCGCCCCTGGGGTCCACTCTGGGGACGAGGGAGCCAAGGAGATACTCTTGCTGCAGTACCGGCTACCGCTGGGCGGTCCCCCTCCCAGGGGACAGAATAGACTGGGTGACCTTCCAGCAGTCAGCTACTCTGTCCACGCTGTGTCACTCGTCACACGTGGCCTGCCCGTGTATGTAATGGAGACGGGTGCAGGGGCCCGACGTGGCAGCCTGGCCACAGCTCGGGGACAGCGAGGTGGCCGCGATGTGCTGGAACCCAGCTTGGGAGCACAAGCCCGTTTCACTCCCGGCTCCGTGGCTGCCTGCTCGAGTAAGGCTCTGAGCTTCAGGTTTTCACGGGCAAAAAAGCGACACGACCTGCTCCCTTCCATGGCCATTGTCAAAAGTCAATAAGGTAATGGAAGGGGAGCACCTGGTGCTCAATCGAGGTTAAGGGGAAGGGTTTGGGTTTTGTTTTTTCTAAGAGCCTGGGAATAAATTCTGGTTCTCAGGTTCCCAGCTAAAGATGGAGGATTGAACATCTACTTTTGCTTCTCCTGTCAAAACCCCACTGAACAATGATCAGACATTTCTAAAAGCATAAATCCACAAGAATTGGGAGAATGGGAAGGAGCAGCAGCAACAAAACTTTAGAAGCTGGAAATAGAGGGCGTAGGTTAAGGAATTCAGCAGATCCAAGAAGTCAGAACCCTGAGTGAGCAGAAGGAAAAGCCGAGAATCACCCAGTTTGGGCTGTGATATCCCCAAGGGCACAGGCACTGGCAGTACCAGCTACCTCTGGACGTCGGGGTGGAAGGCTAGAGGGAGGAGGACCCATGGGAAGTCGGCTTACGAGGCAGTCAGGTCCCCTCCCTCACACTGTACCACTGGGGCTGCCCTTCTCACACCCCGGCCAAAAGCTGGCAGATGATTCTCAACCGGTTCTCCGGACGTGGGAGCCCCGGGCACAGGTAAGGGCTGGACTCAGTACTAAAACAGGGGGATTAAGTGAATTGAGGCTCACAGGATGCTGAGCCCTCTGACCTGCCCTGCACCCCCAATCCCAGAATGCCGGCAAGCGGGCCTTTGTCAGAGGACAGGAAAACTGTTCTCTGGGGAATCAGACCCCTCCCCCCCGGATGGGAAGACCAAAGAGACTGGACCTGGAGGTTCCTGGACAGACCCAGATGAGTCGCCCCCAGGAGAGCCTAGTGTCCCCAAGCCCCACTATGCACTCAGAGTTCCAATCAGGGGGTTTAAATTTCTTAAACATGAGCAGACAACCAAAGATTCTTGGATGTGTAAGTAACATCTATAGTATGAAACACAGTGGCAAAACAAACCAACAGGAAGGGAACCACTAAGTGGAGACAAAAACTCTACAGGGAGAGGAAGACTTTATTTACAGCCTCAGAGACAGTGTTGTCTTCTTGGCCCATGGACGCAATGACACAAAGCATTTAGGGAACAAAAAATGCTCATAGAGATTAAAAACATGGTAGCAGAAATAAGACAAAAAAAAAATCCATAGAATGAGGAGGAAAAGTTGAAATATTCTAGGAAGTGGAACTAACCTAGGATTCTCTCCTCAGCCAGACTTTCAGTTAAGCACGACTGTACGATAAAATCTCTCGGAAAGTTTATCCCCCTCGACACACCCTTTTTCAGGAAGAAACTGGAAGTTGTGCTCCACCAAAATGGAAGTGTAACCCAAGAAATAGGAAGCCAGGGGAGGCAGGAAACATGCCATCCCCCCTGGGAGCAAGGCAAGAGGGACTCACCAGGGTGACGGGGGAGGGGCATTGCAGGATGGCGCTGTGTGTGGATGCAGGGGCCCAGGGTCCAATGGGGCAGGTCGGGGGCTCCGGAAGGGATCTCCCCAAGAAGACCAACACATGGCACACCTGGTGCATCTGAGCGTCCAGAGGGTTAGACAGCCGGCTGAGAGTTTGGGTTTGATTGAGTGAGAAGGCACATAGAAAACTAAGCAACTGAAAAAAAAAATGCACACAAACTCTAAGAAAAACTTTTGCGTGAAAAGAACAATAATCAGATTCCTCCACGGCCGAGCCGTGACTAACATTGGTATCATCACAGAAGCGATGGGTGGGAAGGGGGTTCCTATCTGGGGCGGGGGCCGGGGGAGATCCTCACGTCCATCGTAGGAAGTCAGCAGATGATGCCTAAAGCTGAGAAATGGAGAATTAGTGATGGGAGCATGTTCTTTAGAAACAGCAGGTACACGATCAGGTCGGAGGCTCCCTCGAAAGGGAGAGAGGGGAAAGGGGAGGGGCCTGCTGCTTTCTGCGACCCGCCTTGTGGGAACTACGGAAACTCTGTGATTAGAAACTTTGAAAACTAAGAAAGAAAAAAAAAAAAGGTGCAGCAAATGCACACGGATGTCACTGGCAGCGCTGTGACATGTCAGAAATCCCGAAACGCCAAACCGGAGCAGTGGCGGAGCCCCCCGCCCTCGTGCACGGGGAGGCGGACGTTTGTGATCACAGAGAGAAGCCCACGAAACGTCAAGCAAACGGATAAATGTGGGAACGCTGACTTGCTTCCCGCCGCGTGCTGAGTCTCGGCGGTTTCCTAGATGCGCTGAGGAGGTGACGAGCCCGGGGGGAGAGGCCGGCCCGGCGAAGGCCCATTACAACGTGGAGTTCACCTTCGATACCGACGCCCGGGTGGCCATCACCATCTACTACCAGGCCACGGAGGAGTTCCAGAACGGCGTCGCCAGGTGAGGGCGAGGCCAGGGCAGCCACTCCCTTCCCAGACGGGTTGGGGTCCCCGCCCCACGTGCTCACCCCGTGGAGCACAACGCTCTTTCTCTGACACCAGGCGAGATCGCGTTCCTGGATTCGGGTTTACTTCTGCAGAGCCACACGTCCTCGCCTTTTCCCTGTACATTGTGCCGGCCCCGGTGCAGTGGCAGATGGCAGCACCGCCCTTGAGGCCATTAAGATGCTGTTAGAAATCTATTAAGCTACTTTCTGTGGCCGCGTGGGTCGCACAGATCAGTTTAATAGCATTACCAGCAAGAGCAAAGGAAATAGGTAATAAAGGAGGTCTGGTCTTTTCGATCGTATTCCCAGAGCCTGCTGATAATTGAAAACAGGCCCGAGACCGAGGAAAAGGTCGGGTTCATCCGGGCCAGATGCTAACTCTTGCTTTGCCTCCCACTTTGACCGACAGCTATATCCCCAAAGACAACCGCCTGCAGTCGGAGACGGTGCACTACAAGCGAGGGGTGTGCCAACAGTTCTGCCTGCCCTCCCACACCGTGGACCCCTCGGAGTGGGCTGAAGAGGAGGTGAGCTGCCCCCCGGATGGGGTCGACAGGCCGCGGGGAGAAAGTCAGGGCGAGTTCCGCACATAGCCCCGGACGGGCCCGGGAGCCTGTGAGGGCCGCCCAGGCGCCCCAAGGTCGTGCTCCCCTTCAGCCTTATAACTTCCTCATACCCTTAAAAGGATGCGCCAAACCTCAAAATTTTTCTGTTCCAAAGTAGCCCGTCAGCCTGGGATATTTCGAGACATCCGTGCTCAAAGTAAAGAACCTGCACGTTCCACAGCTGTGATTTTAAAAAGAACCGGTGGACAACGGTCCAACAGTCGGACTTGGGTCGTTCCGAGGCTGGGGAAGGAGGGGCGGCGATGAGCTTCTGGTCGACCCCTCCCTCCCTGGTGGATTTCTCTGCTGCTTCAGCCCATTAAGGCCTTTGTTTGTTTGTTTGTTTCTTTTCTGTCCCTTCAGCTTGGCTTCGATCTGGACCGGGAGGTGTACCCCTTAGTGGTCCATGCCGTGGTGGACGAAGGAGACGGTAAGAGCGCCCTCTGTCTTCTGCCGTACACACTGCCCTTTGGTGGCACAAGGCCTGACAGCTTCTCTGCGGGTGTCGGTCAGCAGTTTCTGACTCCCCCCCATACACACACATGCACATACGCACACACGCACACACGCGCGTTCCCAAGCTCCTGGGGCTGACATGGACACCACTGGGATCCAGAACGAGGCCTCTCGTGACGGCCCGGACGGTTTGCCCGATGGCAGGGCATCGGGGAGGGTTGGTGGGCGTCGCGGTGCATTCTGTGGTTTTCTTCTTCATCCGTGCACCTTTATTTCCTCCAGAGTATTTCGGCCATTGCCACGTACTGCTGGGCACTTTCGAAAAGGTAGGGCCTCACTTTACTGTGTTTACCTGTGTTGCTGTTTGCCGTGCACCCCCTGTTTGCCGGCCCCCTGAGCCCCGCGAGTGGGGCTGGCTCGCGGGGTGCTGCAGGGGAGTTGAAGGGACACCACACCGGGGGCGACACTAGAGTCTGGTTCCGGCTGTGCCACCAACTCGCCACGTGGCTCCCCACCCCATAGGCCTCGCTTCCTCTTCTTCAGCCGGAGGGGTTGGGCCAGACCCTCAGAAGACCCCCTGCCGGCTTCGGGGGTCTGTGACGCCACGCTGCGGGTGTGCGGGGAGCACGTGTCACTGGGAGAAGTAACGAAAGAACAGCTGGCACTGCGCTGCCCTGCTCCCTCGTCCTCACTGTCCCGTTTCCATTCCAGCACTCAGACGGGACTTTCTGCGTCAAGCCCCTCAAGCAGAAGCAAGTGGTGAGTGTCTGAGGACAGGGGCCTGTCGGTGTCTTTGTCTCTCTTTTCTTTTCTTTCTTCTTCCTTTCTTCTTCTCTCTCTCTCTCTCTCTCTCTCTCTCACTCTTTGCTAAGTGCTCTTCTTTCCCATCCCCCCCCACCCGCCGTTTTGTTCTTCATCAAAGAAGAAAAGATAAAAAGGCCGCACTTTTGTGTGTTAGGAACTACTTGGGTGGCCTGAAAGGAATACTGATTTGGGGGGTCTTTATGGTTCCCGAATTGTTGGCATTAAGGCATCCATCCTCCGAGCAAAGGACTTGAGAAATGAAAGGACAAGATTTGTCTCCTGTCATTCGGTTGAGGGAAAAAGTCTTTTTATCTAAAATGCCAGGCCTGAAACATTTCGGGCTAAAGGATGCGGCGCTGGTGTCCAATTCAGGCCAAGCAGAGCCCTCGGCTTAACTTGTCCCACCATGACTTTTCTGAAATTCAAAGTGTGCTGGCCATCTGCCCCCTTCCAGAATGATCAGCAGGTCATGCCCGTGTCTGCCAGAAGCCCTAACCCCCTGCTGTCTGCCCGCACTTCCTCTCCGCTCTTGCAGGAGGAGGAGAGTCACAGAGAGCGAGGAGCAGAGAGTGTTGGCATCGGCACCCCGCAGACAGATCTCCGAAATCCGCCTTTCATTCTTTTGGGTCAAGTGCTCTCCCCTCTCAGTGAGGTCAATAGAAGTCAATAATACTTTAGTATAAATTTGTCGACAGTGTCCTTTCTAATGTAATCACTAAGTTCAAACAGGTTTTCAGAGAGGCAGAGGAGGAGACAGATCCCAGGCCCAGGGTACTGCCCGCAAAAGCCAGGCCTCGGCGAGCAGCCTCCTGGGGAGGCCTCGTTCTCCAGGAGGCCGGGGTGGCTAGCAGAGCTCAAGGACACGGTTTGTGTACGGTCCCGATGCTAGACTGGCATTAGCCACAGACTTCATCAGACTGGACAGTGGGATAGGAAATCAGTGTCGGCCTCGGTCTCAGGGGAGCGGACCGATGGGACAGGGCTCAGTGGGAGTCGGCTCCCATAAAGAAGCAGGGGGAGGGCCAGCTTTGGCTCCACCTGGCCCAGGCCAGCGGGAGTGGAACTGGACGTGGAAGCTGGGGTTTTAAGAAACGGGGCCAGGAGGGGCGATTCTGCTGCGTGTTGGAGATGGGGCGGCTCCGTGGCGGGGGCGGGGGCCCCACCGGCCTCTCTCTCAAGGTCATGCTTTTTTCCCATCCCCTCTTTTTCTTGCCTATTCCTTCTCCTCATGCTTTTTCTCTTTTCCATCCTTTGATTTTTATAACGTCTAAACCTAACTTTTATTTCATAGCTAACGCTCTTAACTCTGATGCATTTTCCTCCACCTTTTTCTAATCTACGCCTTCCTTAACTGTCTGTCATCGTGAGGGGCCGGGCAAGTACGATTGCTGGATTGGTGAACTTCTGCGTTCCCTGTCAGGCATAATGGCGGGAGAATGAAACATTTGGTTTTCTTTCCCCTCTCAAAGAGAAAACATAAGTAGAGAAAAGCATCCTTTCCCTGGCTGGCCCTTCGATGTTTTTCACTGTGAATCAGTAGTCCTTGGTTACCAAGGGGGGCTGGGGGAGGCATTCCTAGCCTTATCTCTCAGCAGAGCCAGCCTGCCCTTGAACTTCTCCATTTGCTCTTCAGGTAGACGGGGTCAGCTACCTCCTCCAGGAGATCTACGGAATCGAAAACAAGTACAACACGCAAGACTCCAAGGCAAGTTCTGCCCCAGATGCTGAGTGTACACTTCCCAGGAGGCAGAGTGAGAGATGCTCTGAGGAAGCCAGGATCTGGGAATGTCACGTGCCAAACTCTGGAAGCTGTTCAGTCCTAGGAGGGTGTTTTCTTGTTCCTCCTTTCAGATGATTATACTTATACCACTTTGGAAATGGAAAGAAAAAAATAGAGCTGGCTTGGGTTAGTCCTTCTGCAGGGCTCCGTTCCCTCTGCTTCCTGGCAGCGTTCTTCACTGCCCTCCCCCTCCGTGTGGTCTCCTAGGCCCTGAGCTCAGGCTGTCACAGGGGCCAGGTCTGAGCCTCATGGGATGAGCTTGAGGTAGTAGTTCCCAGAATCAGTGAAGCTGAGTATGCAAACTCACTTGGTCAACTATAAAGTCCAATGTAAATGTAAGATTTTGTTCTTACTATTTGTCTCAGTCCTTCAGGCAAGCTGCCTTACAGAGCACGGGACGTATTTTGTGGCTCGGTGTCATTGCCTCAATTTCTGTCTCCCCGGCCAGGTGGCTGAGGACGAAGTGAGTGATAACAGTGCCGAGTGTGTGGTGTGTCTCTCGGACGTCCGGGACACCTTGATTCTGCCCTGTCGCCACCTCTGCCTGTGTAACACCTGTGCAGACACCCTGCGCTACCAGGCCAACAACTGCCCCATCTGCCGACTGCGTAAGCCCCAGAGCAGAAGGGACCTCGCCGGGTCCGCTAACTGAATGGCGCTGGGAGGAGGGATCGCGGTTTCTGTCTGACTCCTGCACCGGGATGCACCGATTGCCTGTTTTCGTCTCCACAGCCTTCCGGGCACTGCTTCAGATCCGAGCCATGAGGAAAAAATTGGGCCCCTTGTCCCCGACCAGCTTTAACCCCATCATCTCATCCCAGACATCCGACTCGGAGGAGCATTCAGTAAGTTGGGCTCAGAACCATGACCCCCCCCCGTGAAGCAAACACCATAGGCTTTTTGCTGGCTTATCTCACCTCCTGTCCTTCTCTACGCAACTTTGTGGCAAGTAATTAAACCTCGGTGCACAGGAGTGGTTAGTAAGCCGACTGCCACCACCTTGCGTTAAAACCGACCAGTAATACAAGGGAAAATTGGATACCAACCATGAACATGCCCTTTTCTCCTTGGGAGCTCCGCGTCCACTAGGTGCATGCAGTTTCACTTCAGGGGATTCTGCCTGGGACTCCCCCAGGCGGAAGGATCTGAATACAGTTTGCTCTCTTTATGTGAACCCTCGAAGAAAGTGACGACTTTTCTTGATCCCTTTTCATGGCATCAGCGGCTGGGAGCCAAATAGATGACGTAATTCACCTCGGTTTCAGAGAGGCAGTGACTGTGTCAGCGTAGAGCCTCAAAGCCTCGTGGTTAGTGATGGACAAGCAGGTACTGCCCTCCTTTAGATGAACACAGATTTACTATTCAGGAGGTGGTCCTGGGATAATCAGCTAGCTATTCGAGGAGGAAAAGTCAGTTTAGCACTTTACTCCTTACCAGATACCAAGTTCCAGATGGAGTAACTAGCTAACTCTATTAAAAAACGAAGCCAACTAAACAGAACGTTAAAAACCTAGAGTAAATTATAGATGACTTTTTGGCTGACTTTGGATGGAGGAGGGCTCTCTGAGCTTAAAAGCAATGGAACATTACAAAAAGAGGATTATGCAGATTTTACCACATAAAAATTTTTTAATTCCAAATGTGTAAAAGTTGGCCAAAATGAAAAGGCAAAAAACAAATCATTTAAAGAAAAAAATGTATTCGCAATATTTACATCAGAGGAAAGGCTAATATCTTTGCATAGTTTACGAATAATATAATAGATAAATGTACAAAGGATACAAAAAAAATTCTCAAAAGAGGAAACAGCTGGTTAACAGTCTCTTTTTTTAATGTCAACCACATTACAAATCAACAATATGCAAAGTAATGTGAGATACCATTTCTCACCTTTCAAATTTATGAACTATTTTAAAAATAACCCTGTTGGCAGAATCAAATAGATTTCGGTATTGCTTTTAGGAGCGTAACTAGAAAGATCACCGAAAAGAATAAACAGCTCTATATATCAAGAGCCTTATAAACATTAGTACCTGGTAGCTAAAGTCTAAAAATTTAATACCAAGAAGATAATCTGAAGAGAAGAGATTTATGCACGAAGATGTTCCTCAAAATACAGTTAACAGTAGGAGAAGCTGACACAGTTAAATGCCCGGCACCAGTGGACAGTTAGGAAACTCACAGTATCTACAAAAAGGAAAATACACACCCGAAGGAAAATATTTCTATTCGGTGAAATAAGCAAGGTATGAAGTTGTTATTTACAGATCGGTTTTAACTGACCATGTAAACACTACAGAGAAAAACGTTGGAAGAAAATACACCAGAATGCTAATAGAAGTTATTACTTTGGGTGATTCGATGACTGATTTTTTCCCCCCTCTTTTCTACTCTTCTGGAATTCCCAAATTTCCTGTTATAATTTTCTATGACCATCAGAGAAATCAACATTACGAAGTTCGTCTATAAGCCGAATCTAGGAATACATCGTGGTTCTCTGACATTTTGTCTTTCTTCGGCCTCTGGTACAGGAGCTTTCTTGACAGACCCCCCCAGACTAGATGGAAAAGGAAATATTTTTCCAGTGCAGAGTGAGAAACACGATCGCACCATAACTCGAAGAGCATTTCGTTAATTTTGCAACCTGTCTCTGATTCTCCTAGTCCTCAGAGAACATTCCTCCGGGTTACGAAGTGGTGTCTCTCCTGGAGGCCCTCAATGGGCCCCTCACCCCGTCCCCGGCGGTCCCTCCACTCCACGTGCTCGGAGACGGCCACCTGTCAGGAATGCTGCCCGCGTACAGCCCTGACGGCCAGCTGCCCCCCGTCAGGACGCTCTCCCCATTGGACCGCCTGTCCGACTGCAGCAGCCAGGGACTCAAGCTCAAAAGGAGTCTGTCCAAGTGAGTAGCTGGCACTCAGCGGTGCTGGCCGAGGTGGGGGTCCCTGGGCGGGTGCTTCCCTCTGCCAGGCACCTCCTCAGTGCCAGCCCCCGTCCTGGATCCCGCAGGCAGCATGGACCCTCTGGGCCGTTCCTGGAGCTCCATGTTTCACTGAAGACTTGAGCTAACGCCTCAGGGGACGGTCATCCCATCCCTCAGGAGAGGAAAATAAGATGGCACGTGGGTACTAGCGGGGTAAGGATAGGCAGGTCCACTATGTGGTCTGTTTTGGGGAGGAGGGGTGTGGTATAGAGCACAGGACAGCGTTAGGGTCATTCAGGCCCCTAGGGGGCGTCTCTTAGCCTGAAGTCTGAAGGGACCTTGTGATCTGTACCTCTTAAGCATCTAAATCCAATTAGGTGCCAGTCCTGATAAGCTTTCCATGGCAGAATAAAGGAGGGATCTCACAGATGTAAATATCGAGACCCTAATAGTGTCGGTGGTTTTGCCCATTCCAGACACAAATTATCGAAGGAGCTAAAGAGAACTCAGATTTCTGACACCCAGGAGAGGTCTCGGTCCCTTCCTCGTGCTCTTCCCCTCCTTGCTCCTTCTTAAGATCTGAGGGTTCCCTTCGCTCCCCCTCACGGTCTCCTTCCTGGGATGTCCGCTCGGTGACTTCCGTCCTTTAAGCGGGGGTCGGCTTAGCGGCTTCTCCCCGACTCGGGCAGGTCCATCTCCCAGAATTCTTCCGTGTTGCCGGAGGAGGAGGACGAGGGCTCCTGCAGCGAATCCAAGACTCACCTGTCTCAGGGGCCGTCGGCCCAGCAGCTCGGACAGGTAACCAACTGGCAGCATCCTCCCTTCCCTGGGCGTGGGACTCCAGGTCCTCGCCTCCCACCTGCCTGCCTCATCAGGCCCACCTGCTGTCAGACACTGTGTGCGACAGCGGCAAAGGAGCAAAGGATTTGTTCGATCCATTCATTCATTCATTCATTCGACCACGTGTGGAGCCCGCGTTACACACCAGGCCCCACCCTGTATGCCAAGGTCGGCAGCAATGAGCAGATGACGGGGGCCCCTGCCCTCGGCTGCTTATATTCTTGATAGTGGGGTGGAGGGGGACACAAAACACAGTGAGTGAAAAGGTATCCACATCAGGTGGCACTGTGGACCAGCACGACAGATAAGGGAGAGCGTCGAGGCCAGGGGCGGGCTTGATAGCTTCAAAAAGTGGTCCGTGAACAGAGCCAGCTATACGGACGTCTGAGAAAGGGGGGTTCTAGGCAAAGGGACAGCAGGTAGAAGAGCCCCGAGGGGGACATGCGGGGAGGCCAGTGAGGAGGAGTAAACGAAGGTGGGGTTCCTCCCTGTGCACCCCTCACGGATTTCATTACATCCACTCCTGGCAAGCCCATGAGCCAGGTACTGTGCCGCGTACAAAGACGGCAGGGTGGTTTCTGTCCTTAGGAGCTCACGGTCTAGTTGGGGAGACAACACGTACACAGATAATAGCATCGTACCTGGCACATAGTTGTTGCTCAGTTAAGTGTTTGTTGAATGAATGAATGAATGAATTTGACTACAGAAATCACATGCACCCAAAACAAGGACAATACAGTGCTGTGGCAGAGGCATGAAAGATTGTGTCACGGGGAGGAAACCAGAAAAAGCGTGAGGGAGGGGTAGCATTTGAGCTGAAGCTTGAAATTCTCTGGACGTGAAGAGAAAGGTGAGGGAAACCTTCCAGGTGAGGGGACAGTACATGCGAAGTCACAGGGCGGGACGTGGGGGCTCCGAGCAGGCCAGTGGTACCCGAGAGCTTCGCTTCCTGAGGCCCACCTGCCTGAGGTGTGAGGATGGACGGGGCGGGAGCCAAGGTGGGCAGGAGCCAAGGTGGGCGGGAATGCCGGAACGAAGAGGGAGGAGAGACGACAGGTTGTGGTGACAGAAGCCACAGGACTCTGCATCTGCTGGGTGGAGGGCGGTCGCCTGCCCCGGGTGACTGCTGGGGGTGCGTGTCAGGAGCCCGCTGCAGGAAAGGGTGGTGTTTGCGTTAGAACTAAGCCAGCATCCAGCGGAGAAGCCAGCAGGCAGTGAGGCTGCTGCTGCTTTTCTGTTTTGTGTTTTTTTTTCCTTCGGAGGGAAAGCTGTTTATAATCCCGGGGAGACCTGGGGTGTTCCCGTGTCACAGCTGCTGGGTGACCTGTGTCACCTGAGCTGCAGTCTTTGTCCCGCCCCAGCAGATGCTGTGCCTGGGGCAGGATGTGCTGACTGAAGTTCGCGCCTCCCCTGGGAGGCAGCAGTTCCAGGCCGGGGCTGGTGAGAAGGGATGACACAGAAGCTCCGCGTGCGACTACGGGGACCTCAGTCCCTCGCAGTGCCCCTTTCCTCCTCCTCTTTCCCCATGCCCCCTGCCCTTTCCCCTCCCTCCTTCCAGCCTTTGACTTGTGCTTCCTGTCTCCCCAGGAATGCGACGTGACCCCAGACAGTGAGAATCTGACCTTGTCATCATCGGGAGCCATCGGCCAGTCGTCTTGCACGGGGACGCCTCTCTCTTCCACAATTTCCTCCCCAGAAGGTACATGAGGGAGCAGGGAGCAACGGCATGTCCTTCCCCTCGGCCTAGCCCACAGCGGTCCCACTGTTTCCTCCGGAACAGACTTGGGGGCAGCAAGTTAATCCCTAAGGGGTGTGACTGCTGAGGTCCCAGTGAGGTCCCTGTGAGGATTGGGCGGTCTGGAGCCGGGGGAAGCAGGCGCCTTTCGCAGCCCTGCCCTTCTAAGATTCCCTTTACCACGGTGGTGCCGGGGAAAGCACACCCCTGGTCCCGAGGCTGAGCCCCGAGCTCTAAACTGTGAAGGAGCAGAACTGTGGAGAGCCTTCCACCTAAACCCCGTCCAGGTGAGGGCCAGGCGAGGCCGCCGTGGCCCTGGCTTCATGGGCCAGGGAGAGGGCTCTGCTCCTCATTCCGCTCACAGGGGCCAAGGCTGACCTCCATCTCCTTCCCTCACCCCCTGTCTCCGAAGACCCTGGCAGCAGCAGTCTGGCCCAGTCGGTCATGTCCATGGTGTCCTCCCAGAGCCAGCACTCCCAAGTCAGCACCGACACAGTGTCCTCCATGTCCGGCTCCTACGTGGCCCCCGGCACTGAAGAGGAGGGAGAGGCTCTCCCTTATCCCCGGGCCGCCAGCAGGGGCCCCTCAGAGGACGGAGAGGTAAGGGAGGGCGCGGGGACGTCCCCGGTCGCTCGCTGGAAGGCTGCCAGGGACATCTGCAGAGGCCCCGCCACACTGGGCAAGAGAGCCACGGAAGCGAGGTCCTTCAGACCTGACCGTTTGGCACCGCTTCTGTCCCGAGGACGTGGCTCGGCTTTGCCGCCAGGCTGGGGGGTCGGAACAGCCGATGGTCTGGGCCTCGATCCTTGTTGCTCTTTCTCAGGTGATGCCAGTGACATCTCCCGACAGCAACTTTGTCGGCCTCGCTGAAGAGCAGGATGCAGAGGTAACACCAGTGGGGGACAGCCGTGTGTCCTCTTCATCGGAAGGACCGTTAGTGCTGGCTAGGGAGGCAGACGGGATGGGTTGTTCCAGAAGAAGCCTCCCGAGGCGGCCCGCTGGGATGGGTCGGGGACGCGGTGTGGTGTCGGGGGTGGGGGAGAGCCACACTCTCCGGTCGTGGGCGATCCGATTCACAGAGGACGCCGGGGTCAGTGTGACCCGCGTGGAGTGGGTTCTAGAGGGACTTCGGACCTTGAGAATTTGTTTGTCCTTCATTCGCTTAGTGAGTGTTTACATGGGGTGACCGTCGTAGGTGCTTCCTGGCACTGGGGGCCATAAGGACCCGGGTGACCTAGTTTCCACCCGCCCCTCGCCCTCAGTACCCATCGGGAGCCCCGTCCAGAGGGAGACAGGACTCTAACTCAATATGAGACCTGCCCTGACCAAGGTGCGGGAGGTCCGTGAGATGTCCAGGCCACACTGAGGATCCTAAGGGACTTCGGAAAATTTTACGATCTCGCCCTTTGCTTTCTCACTGGACACCGTGTATTTCCACCTTAGAAAACAATGAACTAAACTATGACCGAGGCTCTTGCTGACATTTCTAGCGTTCGTCTGTAACGTGCCTGCGACCAGGTCCCTACAGGTCGGTCGTGCCTCTCCAAGCCCCCACCGCCTCGGCTCGGCCTCTCAGGCTCCCCAAACTTGACCTAGGCCCTGGCCTTAAACGCTCTCGGGAAGAGTGGCTCTGTCCTCAGCCCACAAGTGTACGGTTGACCGTCGAGAACAGCCCAGTTCCAATCCACGTTGCTCCAGGCTCAACCGTACTTTCGACCCACGGTTGGGACTAACTCCACGTGTGCCGGGGGCCGACTTACGTTACGTGTGGACTTTCGACTTCCTGGGGGGGCGGTGGCCCTGACCTCTACACTGTCTGCTGTGCTCGACGGGCTCACAGTGCTTTCCTTCTGCTGTAGGGAAGAGGAAGAGGACGGATTGCCCACGCAAGAAGATGGTAAAAGACCTGGTCTTTTGCTCCCTATTACGTTCCTTTCTGGGGTGTTCTTTCAAGGGTACAGCAGGGGGCTCTGGGGTGGGTCGGTGGCACTGCTCGGTGGTGTGCCGTCGGGGAAAGGTGGTCTTCCTGATGGCATAGGAAAGCGAGCAGGGGCCCGAGGGCCGTGGTGGCCGTCCTCGCTCTTCCCGGGCTTAGCCACGGCTGTCAGGGCGAGGTGGCCGCAGAAGAGGCAGGCAGTCCTCCGTTCGCCCTGAGTGGGTTCGGGAGCTTCCGGGGTAGCTCCCTTCGCCTTCCTTCCTGCTGCAGCGTTGCAGCCGGGCCCCCCAGAGCCGCCGCAGCATCCCCGAAGTTCAGCCGCCGCAGCAAAGCAGCTTCCTCCCCGGGGGACACGGGACTGTTGTTAGGCAGCTGGTTTGGTTCTGGTTTCGTGAAGAACACGGCGCACGTTTCAGTAGAGGGATCCTGGGGAGGCGCGGTAAACACGTTCGCAGCTCAGCTCAGCGCAGACAAGTGTTCTGTGGCTGTGGCAGCGAAGTCGGGCCTCAGCGGTATCTTCAGTTGGAAGAATGTTGTTTCTAGTCCAACTAGAAGGGATGGAGCGCAGAGCAGGGGCGTAGGAAGATGGGGTGAGGCTGGGAACGTCCTACCTGGGGACAGACACCACACACGCCAAGAAGCAGCCTGTCCCCGCCCCGCTCTGCTGCTCTGAGGCGCCTCTCGAGCAGACCCAGACCCCGGCCTGGACGCAGATGTCATCCTAGTTGCTTCTGCTTCAGCACTGGCCGTTGCTTGGGGAGTTCAGGGGTGCGCATGCGGACTTGACCACTCTCGCCTGGCCAAGTAGCCCTGAAGGAGCGGATGGCCGCCAGGGCTGTGCCTCCGCCTCTCTCTCTCTCATGCCAGCCCGAGACGGGGTTCGGTGCTTCATCGACGAGGTGAATGTCTTCAGTCCTCAAGGCTCCCTCTGCGACTGTCCTCACCATAGAACATTTGCTCCTGACAAGTGCAGGGCCCCAGGGGGGTCCCACCTGACATTTGGTGGCCCACCCGATGGACTTAGGTTTCTTTCTCTCCCTTTCACCAAGAAAAGATTTAAAAAAAAAAAAAAAAAAGGAGCTTGCAAAGAAATCACTTCTAAAACTTTCCCCTCTCCCTCTTACATGTCTGTAGGTTTCTGGTCAGTCCCTTAAAACATACTCAGTATAACAAATGAAGTCTCACAAGAGAATAAATCATAATTTTGAGAACGTGGTGATTCTGACTTGATATGCAAAATTATGGAACCCGAGACCTTTAACTGTTGTTCTGTGTATCATCATTCGCAGAGCCGTGTGGTCACAAGCACAGCCCCCAGCACCCGACAGACACAGGCAGGAGCAAAGTAACTTCACCAGTGGCGTCCCCAGCTTTTCCCGGCCTCGGGCAGAGCTCCGCTCTGGGCCACGCTCCCCGTGGAGCCTGCCCCCTGTCCCGCAGCCGTCCCCAGGGGTCTGACTCTCCACTGAACAACGGCTGGAGAGGGGCCGATTAGGGAAACAGCAGGACAGCTGGAGAACAGAAACACGCCCACACGATTCGATTCCTTTACTGTCCACTCTTTACCCACTTAATTACTGTCTTTTCTTTAACATATGCTTTGATTTTTTTGTGTCTCCATCCTTAAGATTTTTTTTATTTTAAGGACAGCAAAGCAGAGAACAATACAGCCAGCCCCCGTCTAACTGCATTAACTCCGTTACAGGCCAGAGGACATGCGCATTTCTAGGTATGGAGTGTGACAATAACAATGACTTTGACATCGCAAGCGTGAAAGCACTGGACAATAAGCTGTGCTCTGAGGTCTGCTTACCCGGTGAGTGGCAGTCTGCTGACCATGAACTTGGTGGGAGACGCTCCCCTACTCACACCCCTGCTCCCACCCTGGGACACCCATTTCCTGCCCTGCAGCTCCTGTGACAGGCCATGGGCTGTGCTACGATGCTGGAAACCCATTGCTGAAAGGAAGTGAGGCGGCCTCAGGACAGTCCCTGAGTCTGGTGCTCTGAGGTGACTCAGAACGGGAGGAAAGGAGCAGTTCTTCCTCTCCCTCCGACCTGGCCCAACCGGCCCCCGTCCACACGGCCTTGCAGATCCCATGGCAGGCCGCCTGGTCCTTTTCATCAGCAGGGAGTTCGAGGCAGACACGACCTCTCTAGGGCGGTGCCGGAAAATAGCCTGAGCATCCGTAGCTCCTGAGAGGACTGTGTTTAGTCAGGATCAGGGAGGAACTCGAAAGCCAACATTCGTAGGGGAGCGAACGGCTCTGCGACCCCGGGAGCTCTGGGTTACCAGTTGCATTGTACGTATTAGATCTGGATCCCAAAGGAGAAGTCAGGGATTGAGGGTGACTGTGCTCCCTGCAGCCCTAACTTCTAATCTGATCAGTCAGGGCTGTCAGCGTGCCCCCACTTCTCACGGCACTAACGCGAATCTCGGCCGATGCCTTGCAGAGGAGCCACATTAACCACACGTGAGCACCGACCTCCTCGCACCCCGTGTGCTCATTCAGGGGCTCACGAGCCACTTCCGTGAAGCCGAGCGGGCTAGGTCCGCCCCGCCCCTGCCCCTCCTGGTCTCGCACTGTGGCGTCTCTAATCTCTCACACGTGCCCCGAAACGGAGATGCCGTTCAGCTTCAGAACAGCCACACGAGTCGTGGGTCCAGTGCTTTACTCGCTCAGCGAAGTGCCCGGAGGCGCTGCGGCAGCGCGGCCTCCTAGGGCTGTCCCTGTCCACCCCCCTGTGTGGGGCACGGGTCCTCCCACGCCCGGGCCCCGCACAGGCTGTGGCGGGGCCGCACTTCTCGGGAGATGCTTTCTCCAGCCTTTCAGAGGGCTCTCGGGTCATGTTCCGTTCAGGTCTGGCCTGGGGCTGCTGGGGCCCAGGGCTCACTGCACTTCCTGCCTCCCCCTCCCCCAATACCTCGCTTCTGTCTGTCCATTTGTTTCTCACGTCTTTTTTGCCAAGTGTAAATCTGTCTGTCTGGTTTGTCCGTTTTTTTGAATTCATTTGTGTTACCTAGACTTCGTGTGGAAGTTCATGTTCACTCGTGCCAAGACCGTCCTCCCTGGCTACGCCGTGCCCGACGCCAAGCTTGCGGGGCCTGCGCACACCCCCAAGGCTCTTGCTTAGGTCTCCATTGCTAACTGGCAAGGGCCTGTGTTCAATATACGAAGACTTTCCAAGAAAAAATATATACATATATGAATTCCTGTTCCAGAAAAATGGGGGTGCTTCTGTGCCAGGGTTACTGTGAGGATGGGGTTGGGCGTCCTTGCTCACTAGCCGGGGAAGATGACATCTCCGCCCTCACTCCGCCCTGTGTCTGTGGCAGCTACATCGGCCTCTGCTCACTGGGCTTGGAGAGAGAATCTAGGTTCCCGCCTCCCTCGAGGGGTTGCCCCACCCACCCCCCACTTTTGGGCAGAGGGAGCTGCTGGTAATGGTTTCAGCCGACCGTGCTGGTGGAAATTTGAGCTTTTCCCTTCTGCTTCCTCCTCCTCCTCACTCCCTCCGGCCAGCCCGCTGTTCAGTGTTCCACTCGTGGGATTGTGGGAGAGGAGCGAGACCTGGAAGGGAGGGAGGACCCCTGCGCCTCCCGGCGGTGGTCTCAGGAGCCGGCCGACCTGAGATTAAACTGGGTTCACACCAAATGCGTGTGGCGGCTGTCAGGAGAGGGACTCGGGTGTTTGCGCTGGAGCTGAGCCGTGGCAGCACCCTCACCGGAGGCCTCAAAGGCCCCGGCGTACGGGAAGGGGGGGAAGCACAGCTGCTCTCGGGGAGAATCTTCCTCTGCCTCCGCCCGTAGCATCGGACCGGCGGCAAAGTGCCGGGGACTCTCGGGACGCAGCTGCTGGGTTAGTGACTGACAGGTGTCTCCACTTTGGTAGGGCCCGTGGCATGAACGGGCCTCTCCTCCCCCACCTGTAAGGTCGGCCGTCCGGACTGTGACTGAGATACCCGCAGGCTGGCTTGGCTCATGTTCCCGCAGCATCACCCCTTCACCGAGGGCCGATGGGAAGCGGGGCGCGGGAGCACCCCTGCTCTCCCTGTCCGCACACCGCCCTCCGCGTGCTCGTGCGCGCTCAGTCAGGAGAGCCAGCTGGTGGCAGGGACCGCACGGGTCCCCATGCTCACCACGCTCATCGGAGCGACACTGCGAGGCTGCCTGTGTCGTTCCGGCCCCTCTTCCCCTCGGAAGCTTCTTGGGCCTCAGGACCAAGGCGGCCGGGGGTCGCGGGGTGTTCTGAAATTGTTCTGGAAAGTACTCAAACAGAGGAAATCTACGTTGGCAGGTACGGTGGTCAGCACTAGAATTCTGAGACCATGCGAAGTAGATGTGGCTCCCAGGAGTGTGACGGACTCCGACACAGGTCACGGACTAGTGGTTCGGGGCGGGTGATAATTCTGTGAAAAGGCTCTGAGGGGGGTGTATGTGATGGAAAAAAGCAAAGATAATTTGGGTTTGTTATTGGAAACGCAAATATATCTTTAAATGACTGCGTCGTGCAGGAGTGAGGTATATCCGATGAAATCTGAAAATACTTATAGAGACCTGAAATTCAATTCATTCCTCTCAAAAGGAGTGAATGACCCAAGACTAAGACGCTACTGGGAAAGTTTACGCTCTGTAGACACTAAGGAAAAATCCACATTAACTTTCTCTTTCCTCTGGAGAGAAACTCTTCAAGGCAACTGAACAACTTTAGCCCTTGAGTTTCCTCAGTGGCTCAGTGGGGGCAGGAAAGGGGTGTACGCAATCGCCCCCACCGTGCTTTCAAAATCTCCGTCTTCAGGGCTCGTAATCTCTCATTTCGGATTCTCCCAAACGGGAATCGAATGGAAAGCGCCTCTGTCTGTCTCCGGCAAAGGGTTTTCAGCCTCCAGCCTCCGTCTTCTGGCTGAAGGGCTGGAAAACATGGTAGCGCTCACTCAGGAAGTCTTCCCCAGCGTCCTGGGTTTACCTCCTGCGCCAAGCTCCCTCGCTGGACCGGGCAAGGCGGCGGGGAGCAGCGGCAGGGTTCAGTGTCGTCGTAGGGGAGGGGACACCACAGAATGGAACGAGAGGCCAGGGAGCACAGGCTTCAGACCTGAGTCGCGAGGCTGTTCCAGCGGGAACCCGTGGTCGGCCCTGGCCAAGGATTCTGGAATGGTGGCGTCTGCAGCAAGGACTCCCGTGAACTCGGAGCAGGCCGCCCGTCGGCCCGCGGTCTCCCGGAGAGCTGGTGGTGGCGGCGGTGGCTCTGTTTTGTGCATGCATGTGTGTCTTCTCTCCTGTTCACCATTTGCTTTTGGTCTTTCCTACCGAACAGCCGCAGTTCCGGAGTCCTGCCCCATAAACATTGAGGAATAGGTATGAGATCTACCAAATTATATAAACAAACGAGCAACTCATTTTATCTGGGGTTCCTAACTTAAAGGGCAGCCTTGCCCTCTCTTCATCCTGTCACACTTAGAGGTGAAGAGCACGGCCGACCCACGTTCCAGACTCCAGGACCCCAGGACTAGAGACCCCCCAGATTCTGCCTGGGCGTGAGAGACACCTAAGAATTCCCCGTTCCCCTCACTTCTCTTCCCCCGGGGTCCATCTGCTCAGACTTATTAGAGCCTCAGGATGGATTATCACACCAGGACTTTTCTGGGAAATAAGCAGTTTATATCCGCCTAATCCTACTGTTTCTGCCTTAGAGAGTTTCATGTCTTGGACTGGCCTAACCTCACATTCACCAGCGTCCTGTCTCAAACACGAACACCCCCGAGCCTCAGGCCCGCCCTCTGGAGTGGGTCAGCCCCGCCCAGGAGGAGCTGAAGGCCTCAGGGAGGAGTCCAAGGATTCGGCAGTTTCCACATAGACAGAAGTGGGGCGGCAGTGCAGGCTGCTGGCAGAGCCTTCATCCAGCGGGGGCCTGGGGGGGCGGTGCGGTCAGGAGGCCCATGGGGCAGAGAAGGAAGGGCCTTCCTCCCCCAACCCTGGAGCCGCATCTTTGCCCTGAGCACATGGCTGCTGAGGCATCTGCCTCTCCTCTCACAAGATGCTCTGGCTGCACTGGATGGAGCCAGGGCTGTGGGCTGGGAGGATGATCGAGGTGAGTTGAGGGGAGAGGTGAGGACGGCCTGAACAGAGCCTGGGGGCACTGGTCATTGAGCACGTTCTGCTGGTTGTACCCCACCCGGCACCCGCCCACACCGCCTAATTCAGTCCTCACAGTGATCCTGGAAGGTAGGAAGAAAAGTGGCCTTTCCAGGCTGACACAGTGAGGTGTGAACTGGGAGTGGAGCCCAGGTGTTGACGCCAGACTTGGACGTAATCAGGGAGCGAGCAGACGGGGTGGTGATGGGTTGAATCACAGCACGAAGGAGAGAGAAGGGCCAGGAAGGGTTTGCCAGCATGGGACGCTGGTGCTCCACGTGCGAGAGCGTGGGCAGCTTTGGGGCCGGGGGCAGGGGATGAGGAGTTCTGTGAGTGACACCTGTGGGACCCCCAAGCCTCTCAGACCCGTGTCTCCTGAGGTAGATGGCACCAGCTGATAGCAAACCTCAGAGATGTAGAGCAGCAGACGCGGGGGAAGGGGTACAGGAGCCATCACACTGTCCCCCGCAATGCCATTCTGTCCCTGGTGCCTGCTGGGCAGCCAGTGGCTCCCTGCCCCACCCTGGCTCCCACAGCAAACATTAACACGGGGCCCAAAGGAACAGTCTTCCCACTCCGCCCCGAGGAAGCCTCAGCTAGAGCCAGTGTCTTTTTTCTGTGTCCACCATGACACATAGGCCAATTCCTAACACACAAAATACAAAAGTGGATCCTAGGGCAAGTTCACAAAACAAGGAACATCCTGCGTGTCCGTCGGGGGGCCGCAGTGGCCGTGACCGCCTAGCCCAGGGGGGCCGGAGCGGCACCCACTACTCCCACGCGATGTGGCCTGCACACGCACAGGAGTTTCAGGTAGCACGCATCCCGCCAGGTGCCGAGCTCTGGGGCTGCCCTGCTGGAGACACCATCTGGACCTGGCCAGAGGTCCGGCACCCGTAACCTCCCTTTCTGTCCCGCAGGCACCTGGCAAGCTGATGACAACGTTGCCAGCCGTCGGAATGCACAGCACCGGCGCTTGTCCAGCAGCCTGGAGGACACAGAGCACAGGCCCTGTGTGTGGGGTCCTTTGGCCGTCTGAGGGCCCCGGCCCCATACCAGGGCTGCCCTCCTGTTCCACCCTGACCTCGCGGGACCGCTGGCCCCCTGGACATGCTCAGCGAGACACAGGGAGACTTTTATACCCGTGCGAAAGCCAGACTTTGAGATCAGCCTGCTCCTTCTCCCAGCCTCGTCTCCTTCCATGACCACGATCTCTTCCCTCTCCGAAGGGACCAGACGTCTCCTTTCTCCTCACGGGCTAAAGCCACTCCGTGAACTGCGTCTCGTGAGACCCTTTGCAGAGACTCTGGAATGTTCCCACCACATCTTGATCTTCAGGTGGAGCCAAGGTCTGCAGGCTGATGGTGCATCTTTTCTCTGCTGAGGAGTTAGACCAAGAAGACCCAGAGTCTGAGCAGCTTCATCACAGACACCCACCTGGCATTTTCTGGTTTCTGGGACACTGTAACCAGTTTGAAACCTCCAATTTGGGGTGGGGTTGGGGGCGACTCCGGTGAGAAGGGAAAGCCACATTGCGCCGTAAGTAGAGGCTCCCTCACAAAGCTAGAGGAGTGCCTTTCCCAAGGACAGGGGACATGGTGGCAACCGAAAGTTCTTGCTTCTGGCGGCCGAGCTCGTCTCCTGTGCCTCGTGTGTCTGTCTGCTTAAGAAGGCGGCCTTGACTCTGAGACTCCCCCATTCAATGAAACCCCGAGGAGGGTTTCTTAGGATCAGGTGCATTCGCGAAGGCCTGGGACTCCATCCTAAGGTGATATTTCAAAAGACACGTTTTTCGACCACCTCTGTGCCAGGCACTGTGTCGGGAGCTGTCGTATATCATCACGTTTCATCACTAAGGCCCTGACAGGCGGTATTCTTTGCCTCCACTCCTTTTTGTTAATAGTTGAAGAAATAGTCTGAGAGACGGGTGGACCAGTTTGGTGCCCAGGAGCCCCAAAGCGGGTGGTGAGGCGTGTTGAGCTGGGGCCAGCAGGGGATGGGGAGCCTGATGGCTGTGGCCAGGACCTTCACCTCTGGGAGCCTCCCCACCCCACGTTTTCCTCCCCTGCCTTCCAATTCTCCTGAGCCTGATAGGGGAAGGGGAGGTGTTGCCTTCCGTAGGCTCGTTGGAGATTTAGACATGTTCAAATCGTGTGCCCCACCCCGCCCCATCCCAGCCCAGAGCAGAGCATAGAAACAGAAGGCTAAAACAAGTCTCAACTGTAAGCCGCGGGTTAGTCCCCTCTCGACACTAGTGTGATGGATGGATTCCGCACAGCTCTTGCACAGATGCTATGTCTACTAGCTTTTGGAAAAGGTGGTGGCTTAGTGGAGCATAGGATTGGGCGGCAGAGCTGGATACAACAGTTTGTGAGGCTGAGCTGTAGCGGGGCCTCGGGCTAGGCCCATCCTGATGGCCTGTCTTAGTATTCGGAATTGTCACCCTAGAAGAGCTTCTCGGGGCCACTTCCAAGACCTCGAAGAGAGCCCAGTGCCCAGGGGGTCCTTTGCACATTCTTTGTGGCCTCTGTGCACCGCCAGGACCCTCATACTGCCTAGCGGTTGGGGCTCACGTCCTGCCCTGTTGTGCGAGATGGGGGCGGCTGTTGTTCAGACAGATGTGACGTGAACCGAGCTGGAATCTAAACTTCTGTCTTGAGTTCCCACATCCACCCTCTCTGAAATCCTGCAAAACTGTTGGGTCAGGCCCCATTCCGTGTCCTTCCTTTCTCCCGACAAACTCCCAGCCCCTTCCATATTTAAGATCTGAGCAATAACTCTACTTCCTGATGTCCTTGAAGTTCGAACCCCAGAAACACCAGGGAATAGGCACCTCCCTTAGCCCTAGGGTGGTGGCACATGGACCCACCTCCTCTCCCAGCAGGTAGTATTCACAGTGTGGTGTTACCTGAGATGAAGGAGATGCGGGTAAACAGTAGCCACAGTGGCCAGGAACCCTAAGGGGAAGCCATTATCTTCACCCCTTCTGGAGGGTCTGTGTCCTCTTCCAGGCAGAGGCTCAGGAAGATTTTTCTAGGCCTTGGTTCCATAACCAAGACACATCCGCATTAGAATGGTCCTTCTCTCCTTGTTTCTCAGACACTTCCTGTCCTCTCCCCGCACCCCCTTGCTCTCATTTAGATCTTCGGAAGCAGAAATATCCCATCCAAAGGGGCTGGTCCTCAGTCAGCTGGATCAGGGAACAGGGCAGCTGCCAGCCCTACTGCCGCATCCATCATGGAGACAGTTGTGTTATAAGCAGTTGACCCAGAGAGAATGGGACAGGACCTGGCTTCTCACACGAGGGCACAGACTGGAGGCCTGAGACTCCTTCCCGCCACACTCAGGTCCGAGCTCTCGTATGGCCTTGGGCAGTGTGGCGATCCTGGCCTCCTCACAGAGCCTTTTCCCCTTCCCCTACCCAATTCCATCCTACTGGAGTTCATGCCCATGCTGGGGCATCTCCTGGGCACAAGCCCACACACTTTACGCCATCTCACCTGGGGAGAGTTAGTGTCCTGTTCCCTTGATGTTGGCACGCTTGTTGCTCACTTTGCTTTAGGATCTGCACACCTGGTGTGTGCAAGTGTGTGTGTGTACTGCTGTGCCATCTGTGTACCCCTGTCACTCCCTGGAGTTACACTCATGGGCACATGACAATGGGGACATCAAGGATGCAATATTTATGGATTGCTGCATGATTCTTAAAAATGAATAAAACTGTTTACCAGGGAAGGGGAGCTGTTAACTGCGCAGTTGGCCTATTTGTGAAAGTTTCTGTCAGACTTTGTCCAGCACTCACTACTTTTACTCAAGACGATCTGGGAGTGGGGGAGTGGGACAGGGCAAGGGGTAGGGATGGACATGGCCTAGGCGGGAGTTGATGTGCCATCCCCTGGGCGTGGGGGGTGGTGCCAGCCCTCCCGCTCCTGGGCAGACAGAGGCCTAAACGAGGCGCCCCCCACCCTCGTCCTTAAACCCGAGAACATCCAACACTGCAGCTCCTCAATAATTGAAGAGCAGAAAAGCTGGTGACAGGAGGGAGGCCAGGGGAAGGGAGGGGGAAGGACCACAGTCTCGGCGACCCTTGGTCCATCACTTAAAGGTTGGTGGAATTAATCGGGCAAATGGCCCCGCTAGGAGAATTGGGCAAGTCCATGGCTTTTCCGAGTTGTAGCCATGGGTTCTGCTTCCTCAGCTCTCTAGAGAGGAGAGAGAGCTCTTCCTCAGAAGCCTCTGGAATGTCAGGGGTGGGGGAGAAGACGCTTACCCGGAAACTGGATTACCCTACCCGCCTTGGTGTGTCTGAGATCGTTGCGGTGCGGCCGGTTCCGCGGACCTGAGCGACAGGTGGCATCGGAGAGTCGGACCTGCCCGCGGGCCCCGGAGCCGACACTCTGGGTCGGGAGAGAGGGACAGGCAGCAGAAACGTGAGGAGGTGCCACTCGCAGCCCAGAGGAGAGGACAGGAAACCCCCGGCACACGGTTCCCGAGTCTGAGCCCGCTCCCGGCCTTGGCCCCCGCGCCCCGGGCGGTGTCCCCGGAGCCGACGACGCCGAGGAGCAGCAGGGGCAGGTAGGGGGCGGGGCGAGAGTGCGGTTCCCGGAGCGAACGGCCGGCCCGAGGGCCCCGGCCTCGGCTCGCCCCGAGCCCCGCGCGCGGCCGCGGGGCGGGAATGCGCGGAGCCCAGCCGCGCGGCGGGTAGGGGGTTGGGTGGCGCGGGAGAGCACGGCAGAAGGAGGGAGTTCGAAGAGAGTTACCGCCAGAGAGAGTGGAAGGAGCCCGCGGTATCCATGGAGACGTGCCGGCCAATAGCAGCAGCGAAAGCTGTTTATGGGGGCGGAGCGTCGCCATGGCAGCAGGAGAAGCCTTTCGAGCGGCTACTTAATGCCGGTCCCGCGGCCGCGGGCGCTCAGAGAGGCGCCGTCGGGCGGGGGGGCAACGAGGGGCGCTGGCGGGGCCCCTGGACTGGGGGCAGAGAGCGGCAGGGCTGGGAGGAACTTCTTCCAGAACCTTCCTTTGGCCTGGGCTGCGCTCTGAGCCAGGTAAGGGACGGGCAGGGCCGCGGGCCGCGGAAAGGGAGAGGCGTCGGTACCACCCCGCTCTCCCATCCGTCCTCGACGGTAGCGGTGGGCCCGAGGACTGACATCTGAGGAGTCTGGGGGCAACTCGCTTCTCGCCCCCCATAACTTTGTCCTGCTCCCTTCCTTCCCCGACATCTTTTATCCTAATATCCCTTTTCAAAGATCAGAGGACCAACCCCGTCTCCCGCCCCGTCGTACTGCCCTCCCGGGCTCCGTCGCCCCCGTTTCTCTGTGTCGCAGGGTGTGGGTGTCTGATTTCCCGCTCTTGGGGAGAAGGGGATGGCCTCGGATGCCTCGTCCCTCGTTTGGCTAATAAAATATCTCCAACCTCGAAGAGGAAAAGAAGAGGGAGGCCGCCCGCCCCTCTGGGGTCTGACCCCAGGGCACGGCTTCTGTTTCCCAGACCTCGGCACTCCGAGATCCTCCAGCTGCCAGGACGATTTTAGAAGAGCCTCCCCGCTCGCACACACCTCCCCTCGGGCGTGAGGGAGGAGTGTTCAGCTCCCGCTGTGTCCCCGCAGGCCCCACATTCGTATTCGGAGGCGGCGACCCCCGGGTTGCGGGATGGAAGCGCGCGTCCGGAAGGCTGTGTAACTGGAGCCGCGGGAGTCAGCGGGCCGGAGAGCGTGGCGGGCCACCCTCGGCTCAGCCCGTGGATGTTGACCACCCCCTCCGAGAGTCCCCGCAGACATGGCGGAGAGCTGGCTACGCCTCTCCGGAGCGGAGGAGGCCCGGCCCGAGGGAGGCTTGGAGGAGCCCGACGCCCTGGATGACAGCCTGACCAGCCTGCAGTGGCTGCAGGAATTCTCCATTCTCAACGCCAAGGCCCCCGCCTTGCCCCCGGGGGGCACTGACTCCCACGGCTACCACCAGGTGCCAGGCTCGGCCGCACCAGGGTCCCCCCTGGCGGCCGATCCCGCCTGCCTGGGGCAGCCGCACACTCCAGGCAAGCCCACGTCGTCGTGCACGTCGCGGAGCTCGCCCCCGGGTCTGCAGGCCCCGCCCCCCGACGACGTGGACTATGCCACCAATCCGCACGTGAAGCCACCCTATTCCTACGCTACGCTCATCTGCATGGCCATGCAGGCTAGCAAGGCCACCAAGATCACTCTGTCCGCCATCTACAAATGGATCACGGACAACTTCTGCTACTTCCGCCATGCAGATCCCACCTGGCAGGTAGGGGAGGCGCGGGTTGCGGCCGCTCCCTCCCCACTCCCTTCCCCCTCTCCACTCCTGAGCAGCGTACAGGACTCAGGTCCCAGCTCCGCAGGCCAAGTGTGGGCAGTGCAGCCAGGGCCCCAAGGGAGGAAGGCCATGGAGGAAGGACCTCCAAGGAGCCCAGGGCTGGAAACTGCCCCTCATTTGGCTTCAGAGAAGAAGGAGGGAGGATGTTCAAGGGCTTTAGAGGTATGAAAGCCGAGGTTCAAAGGGCAAGCACTTGTCACTCATCCAGGAGGCCCAGCCCAAAGACCAGGGCCAGACACAATCCCCTTGGGGGGCGGGGCGGAGACTGAGGAACACATTTTTATCCCAAGTCCTAGAATTCCTAGACACTGCCTTGCCCAAGGACAGTTTGTCAGGACCTGACTCAGAAGTAGAAGCTGGAGCCTGGCCCCCCTGCCAAGCTCTCCGTCCTGTCTACACGCATTTGGCTGGGGAGGAGGGGAGTGCCGTGGGGTGTGAAGGCCAGCTGTGTCCCAGTGGAGAGGTTGTGGGGCCTTCCTAAAGCTGCTGTCCCAACCCCCCACCCAAACCCCTCCCCATTTTCCTGCCTCCACTCCTCCCCCTCCTCTCAGGCAACCTCCCTAGAGGAACAATTACCTGAGCCAGGTGCTTTCCACTGGGGCTCTGCCTCCAGCACTGGCTTCATGTTCCAAGTCTCCGGAACCTGGCACAGAGCAGCCAAGGGGCCAGGCCACCGTGTAAACATCCCAGCCTTGTCAGGGGGTACCCATCCGCCCTGCTGCCCACGTTTGGACAAGACTATGTACCTAGGAATGAGCTAGGCTAGATGGTGATTTGAGATGGGGCAGACATTGCCCTGCCCTGAGTATCTTCATCCATCATGATGGGGGCGAGTTGGGGACAGAGGCTCTGAGGGTGCCCAGATTCTTCCCTGGGGCATCTGTAGACAGCAGGCGGCAGGATTACAGTCCCAAGCTATTCCACACTTGCTTGGGCCCTGACTCCGGGGCAGTGCCGTCTGTAGCCTCGCTGAGAAAGCAGAGACCCCCACCCAACCCCAAGCCTTCCAAGCCTGAGCTTTGGAAAATGGGCCCAGGAAATGAGCACTCTGCCCTTCGCTGGGTAATAATCAACTGGGGCCTCACAGCTTGGGGTGGGAGGAGGGGGCCACGGGCAGTTAGGGCCCAGGCCAGCAGCTGGCTCAACAAACAAGGAAAGTCATGAGATCCCGCCACACTTCATCCCTACACACACTCGCGCGTGAGCGCACACACCACACACACACACCCTCGGTCGCCCAGTGTCCCTCACCCCGAACCACGCACTTCACACACGGAGAGGGCCAGCCAGGACCAGAAGGAGGGAGATGGCCATCCAGGCCCTGGGGGAGCTGAGGCCTTTGGCCAGAGGCCACAAGCAGTGGGGTAAGGGAGGGAGGGCAGGACGAGGTGGCACTGAGAGCCGACCCGCGGCTCAGGGCTCGGATGACTGAGCAGGCAGATATCCTGGCAACAGGGAACAAAAGCCCCCGACAGCACTCCTGGCTCCGGGTGCCCTGTGGCTGGTGTCCCAGAGCCTCCCCGTTAGAGCAGTGCCTCCGTCCCTCCTCCCTCATCAGAGAGGAGATGGCAGGAGGACACGTAGGAGCGTTAGCAGCCACACGTCACCAACCCTTCCTTCCCACTCACCCAGCCGTCCTCCGTCTCTCCTCTCTCCCTGTGCCCAGAATTCCATCCGCCACAACCTGTCCCTGAACAAGTGCTTCATCAAAGTGCCTCGAGAGAAGGACGAGCCAGGCAAGGGGGGCTTCTGGCGCATCGACCCTCAGTACGCCGAGCGCCTGCTTAGTGGGGCCTTTAAGAAGCGGCGGCTGCCCCAGGTCCACATCCACCCGGCCTTCGCCCGCCAGGCCGCTCAGGAGCCCAGCGCTGCCCCGTGGGCCGGGCCGCTGACCGTGAACACCGAGGCCCAGCAGCTGCTACGGGAGTTCGAGGAGGCCACCGGGGAGGCGGGCTGGGGTGTGGGCGAGGGCAGGCTTGGCCATAAGCGCAAACAGCCACTGCCCAAGCGGGTGGCCAAGGTCCCGCGGCCCCCCAGCACCCTGCTGCTGACCCAGGAGGAGCAGGGTGAGCTGGAGCCCCTCAAAGGCAACTTTGACTGGGAGGCCGTCTTCGACACCAGCACTCTGGGTGAGGAGCTGGGCACGCTGGAGGCCCTGGAGCTGAGCCCACCGCTGAGCCCCGCCTCGCACGGGGACGTGGACCTCACCGTCCACGGCCGCCACATCGACTGCCCCGCCACCTGGGGGCCTTCAGTGGAGCAGGCTGCCGACAGCCTGGACTTCGACGAGACCTTCCTGGCCACATCCTTCCTGCAGCACCCCTGGGACGAGAGTGGCAGTGGCTGCCTGCCTCCGGAGCCCCTCTTCGAGGCCGGGGATGCTGCCCTGGCTGCCGACCTGCAGGACTGGGCCAGTGTGGGCGCCTTCTTGTAAGAGGCCAGGCCCCGCCCCACCTCCGGACAGCACCCGAGTCAGGGCCCAGACTGCCCCCCAACACAGGCCGATTGAATCCTACCGCCCAGGCAGGGGCTGGGCCAAGTCTCCCAAGGCTGGCCCCACTAGGCCACACGGTCCCTAGCCCGGGCTGCCCTCAGAAGACAGCCCAGGAGGCTGAGAACTGGGGCTCAGGACAAGAACTGCTGCCTCCCCTCCCCAGCCCCCCCACACACAGTGTTTCATTGACCCTCATCTTCCCTTCTCCAGGGACCGGCTAAAGAGCCCCCCACTGTGAGAGCAGCGGCCTGGAGGGGCGCTGCCCTGGCCGGGGAGCAACAGGACAGGGCCCGTCCCCAGCCCCTCGGCTCCAGGCTCCAGTGCTTCTCCCTCCCTCCCCGCAACCCCCCCCCCCACCGCCTTTCCTCCCCAGGTCTCTATCCAGAGAAAGTTCCCAGGTACAACAAATGCTAATTAGGTGACAGCAAATTAACCCCCTAGAGGCCTCTGCAGGCAAAGCCTCCCAGGGGCTGGGGCCGGGGCGGGCAGTAGATGGGGCGCAGAGCTGGGGGAGGGGGCAGAGAGAGGAGACGGACGAGGTCGGGGTGCCAGGTGGGGCAAAGAAATTTTCTAAGGCCTCTGGGGTCTTCTCCTGGCCCCATCTCCAGAGGTGGGACAGAGGGTGGAAACTCTTCATTTTTGAGCCCAACTGGAGGCTGAGAGCAGCAGGGAGTTGGGGTTCCG